CCTAATGTTTTGCAAGACAGGAGGCAAAATTTTCTACAATGGTGGCACTTTAAGGAAACAGGTAAGGTTGGAAGAAGAGAATGAGAAATCTATGTAGCTCTCAGATGAATGTGGAGGAGGGAATATTCAAGCAAAGTTCAGAGGTATAAGTTCTATAAATAGCTACTGAGCAACTTTCTACCTCTCGGTGCAAAAGCAGAAATGTGGGCAGATGTTCGTGCATCATGCTGCAAGGTGGCTCGGTGGTTAGCATGGTCGCCTCACAGCAAGAAGGTCAATGGCTCATGTCCCGGTGAGGACACCCGGGATCTTTCTGTGTGGAGTCTCCATGTTCTCCCCGTGCAGCGTGGGTTCTCTGCGGGTTCTTCCTCCCACACAGTCTAAATTGTCTGTAGGTGTGAATGTGAGTGTGCTTGGTTGTCTGTCTCTAAGTGTAGCCCTGTTATAGACTGGTTACCTGTCCAGGTGTTCCCTGCCTTCGCCCTAAGTCAGATGGGTTAGACTGCTGCCCCTCGTGACCATAGTGAGGATTAAGTGGTGTATAGATAATGGATGGATGAATGTTTGTGCAACCAGGAAACTGAATTTCAGTGTAGAGTTGAATATTCAGGTAGCATCAGAATTCAGTTTTAACCTATTACATTCAGCTTCAAGTTTATTGGAATTCAGCTTTGATTTAATAAATTAAATTTCACATCATGTGCTTCAAATTCAATTTCTTTATTTCAGTTATTCCGGTTGAGCAGTGCAAATTCACATACTTAACCGTTCAATCTCAGTTTCTGGTGGCACAAACTCTCCTTTGAGAACAGCAGATCTTGGACAGAACTTGTTGCCCCGTTAAGGAAGTCCTGTGTGCATGTTTGTGGTACAGAAACCCTTAACCTGTCTGCGAGCGAACGAAAACTGAGATTTCAATCGGTCGGACCTCAGAAGCGGCTGGCACCGACGCGCCGTGTTGGAATTTCAGCAGCGTAATTCAATTTGTGCCTGTTAATACATTCAGCGCTGTCGGATCCGTGTCCTGTATTTACCTAGCTGGAATAACACTCGGTGCTGCGTCGTGTGGCCCGCCGCTCGGTACCGTAATAAAGAGAAGCGCCGCTGTGTGCCGAAGGGGCTGCTGATCCTCTAATGCTGCCTTCAAGCCTCCTCAGCCAAGGCCTTGTGTTTTGGCTGGCGCCCATTGGTGTAGTCAGCTGGTCAGCACATCTCTTGCTTTTTAGAAGTCTCCCTTCTTCTTCTTCTTCTTCTTTTCGGCGAGGTGTAGCGCCGTGTGCGGAACACAAACACCTTCAGCAGACGGCTTCACACCCGAGGGCAAACATGGAAAATGTTCCCTGCCTCTGCTTTTACAGGAATGTGAGGAAAGTTACTGGCTTATTTTACTAACACACATGGAACAAAGTGTAAAAGACCATTCTGCGGTTCGAGTGCATTTCATCCGGCCTTTTTTAAAACAGGTATCCAAAGCAGGATTCATGAGTAGAAAGAACAACCGACCTACTCATCTTCTTGTAGTTGCAAATTCATGATCTCTCCTTGCTTAGTTTACACAGCCATTAGCAAATGTTTTTCCTCTTCTACTTTTATTTGTTTTTCAGCTGTGGTATGGGGGTTTTTTTTATTAGCATCATTGTGCATAAATTCCACACTAACCTTTCAGAACATTGTAATTCAGGTGTACTCTATAGAAACTTCCCACCATCTCCTGGTTCTGTTTAAAGGAGTTTAGAAAATCTAGCCTCTGAAAAAGAGATTTTACCAAATCGAATGCCTTCTCACGCAGAGAATTGGATCACATGGGGGACTTTTGGCCCTGCCTTCGCCATAAGTCAGCTGGGATAGGCTCCAGCCCCCCATAGCCCTAGTGAGGATTCAGCGGTGTATAGATAATGGATAGATGGATGGATGGATGGATGGATGGATGGATGGATGGATGGATGGAGGACTTATGCAAGGTTCAAGTTCCAGGTAAAGCTGCAAATTAACTTTTAGTTTTGCCATCTGAGCACATTTTTGTTCAAATACTGGGCAGTTTGTTTGTACCGTTTTTAAATTTCTGCTTACTGTAGTTTTAATTATTGCTGGGGGGGGAAAAGTGGCTCTGTTGATCTTCATGCTTGATCTTTATGATTTTCTCTGAGCGTTTTGGGCGGATAGTTGCCTCAACGTAACCACAACTTTAGAGTAAGTTATTTGCAAATCCAATCAAATTTATTTACATAACATATTTAAACAACTGGAGCTGAGCAGTATCCTGTGCATATTATCAGACAGGCAGCAATATAATTATGTGCAAAATAACATACTATCTTTACTTATTTTGTTCTACCTTTTGTTAGGCTTTTTGTAAATTTTTTAAAGCTGAGTTAGGTAGTTTTTTTGGGGGGCATCATTCTGCAAAAAATCCACACCAGTTACATGGAGGACTTACGCAAGGGTTTAAATTGCAGGTAAAGCTGAAAATAAACATTGCCTTATAATTCTGCCATCTTTGCCGATTTCTTGCTTATGTGGTGGAAGTTGTGTTGAATTTTGATTGTTTTTTTTGTGTTTTTTTTTTTTTTATTTCTCCAATTTTAATTGTTGCAAAAAAAGTTGATCTCCATGCCTTCTGTGAGCCTCTTGGAAATTTCTCTTCCCACTGTATTCCCACTGATAGTGGCCTAAACATTACCAAATTGTATTTTTTCGTCAAATCAAATTTCTTTATATAACATGTTTAAAACAGTCAGAGTTGACCAAAGTGTTGTACACGTCACAACATCACAGAGGCTGCAACGAAATTATGTGTAAAACATCAAGACAAGACGAAACTAGTCAAGTCAAACTTTAACACTAAATAAAATACTGAAACAGGCAGAACAGGACATCAACTAGAAAGATCAGCTTCTAGAAAATAAATATAACATAAATGGAGAGTTCATTTTCAAGAACAGATTTTCAGAAAACATATTTTTTTGTTGTTTGCTTGAGATAATATCAATCAAACTGAAGTTGAGTGGATTTGACTCGGTAGAAATGACAAAAATAGAGAGAACTAAAGTTTGATTGATATTGTCTCAGGTAGATGATGGAAAAATTGGTTTTCTGAAGGTTTGTGAAGATGGAGTTATGTGTTTTTGTAAATTAATTCTTCAAATATAAATTGTTAATACCATTTAGAGCAGCCAAAAGCTACTGAAAACATGTACGTCTGTCTTGGTTGCAATCTGTCCATGACCTGAACCAAGTAGTTTTAGATTGAACATCTCCTGGTGCATCTTTATCTTGCTGATCACCAAAACTCCATGTTCCCTTGTTTAATGCATTAAGACACAGTCCTTTTTTATTCGTTTGCATGTTTGTGTTCATTTTATTTTTGGGTTGGCGCATTATGAAAAGGACTTGTTGAACAGCTGGCGTCAGAGATGAATCAATTAGATATTTTCTAATGTAACTATAGTAACCACAACTAGAGACAAAAAGAACATTTTCTTCCCGTGATAAATGGACAAATTGTGTGCAGGTTATAAGACAGGAGACTAGATGAGAAATCATTCTGAATATGATCTTTTTCATTAGTCCTGTTACTGGCAGGCGACTGGCGTGGATTTGAGGTGTTAGCAGAAAAATGTTATCTTTAGGGATAACACAGCCATTACTTTCTTCATTCCTAAAACACCCCTATTTCACAGAGTCCATGTGGTTTTCATCCAAAAACAGCGACAGGCTCTTTTGCACCATTAACACCCGCTGCATAGGAAGAGCTCCACCCGGCCCGTCAATGAAACGTACCAATATCTGACATCTAGGAATGAAAGATAAGATTTAAACAAACCTGTCTGTCTCCAGAAAACCTCACAAGGCTGCTCAGAGGGTAATAAAAACAGGATAATCCTCAAACACCAGACTGTTTAGAAACTGCAGACTTGTTTTTTTTAAAATCGGAAACAGTCCCCAAAACCTCTACCTACAGTAAAATAACCTTTGTTTAATGATGCCAAATTACATGTCTAGCCACCAAGGCTTTGCAAATCATGTCAGTATACTCTCAAATCCATTCTCTGTTAAATTATAGCGTTGGATACTGTCAAGTTTAATGAGCTTGTCGTGTGCATAAGGTTGTTAGTACAGCATGTGCTAAAAGATCTCAGTTTGAGGAGGATTTCTGGAAATTATTCCAATCACAAACAAGAAACTTTGCAAATTTGTCAGCATGTTTGATCCCACTCGAATGTCACCTGCATAAATTACATGAACTCATTTCGTATGGATTTTATGCAGATGCAGGTGTGCCGCCCTCCCAGAGCACCCATCTGGCAGCCATAATTAGGCAGTGCTGTAATTACATTGAGGTCCAGCAAGAGATCAAACCCCCTTCTTCCTCTGGGGCCTCGAGACCAGATTCTCCCCAACGAGAAACATTTTCCAACTTTTTCTTCTTTGACACGTCAACGTAGAGCCGCTGCCACGAAGACACAAACACTCGAAGTAGGATTTGTTTGGTTCTTTTCTCTATTCTTGAACTAATCCAAGGTTAAATCCCTGATTGAACATCGTTGCAACAATGCCACGAGAAAACGACTTTTATCAGAGAGTGTCTGTCGCCACAAGAGATTCACGGGTGGGTAATCCTTCCTCGTTGTTTTAAAGGGCAGTAACTGGGGATTAATGTTTTTCCTGGGTGTTGCTCATTCAAAAAATTCCAACTGTTTCATCGTCGAGTGTCCAATATGAGGCACCACAATGGAGATTTTAATTAACTTTCCCAGAAAACAACACACTTGAACTCTGCAAGAGTTCTATCCAACTGGTTTTTAATGCTTTTGACTAACTTCCTGAACGCAACAGGAGAAGATATGATGACAAACTGTCCGACGTGGCCAAATCCAGTGTGTCCGTAATGGTATAAAAGCTCACGATGCGATGTAAGAGTCAGAAGAGAGACGCAAGACTTCGAGAAAGAAATTCAACCGTCCAAGCCAGCGCCGAACACCTCCTGGAAGACCTTCACCATGAGACAGTCGCTCATATCCGTCATCTTTGCCACTGCGCTCTTATTCGAGAGTTATGGCCTGTCAGCGGCGTTACCGATGGGCAAGACTGAAGACGGCTCCTTGGAGCAGGAGGCTTTGCTGCTGAGCGACGAAGCGACAGAAAACGGCCTCGGCGACGCAGATCTGGTGACCAAAGCCAGAGGACCGAGAGTGATCGTCATCGCCGCCGATCCCAGCCTGCTGAGGGACCTCCGGGTGCTGCACAGCGGACTTTCCCTCTACAAACGGAGAGCTGACGCCGACAACGGCCAGGTCACCGAGCACCGAGACATCGGACAGGACCTGAACATCCCCATCCTGAGGAGGGACACCATGAGGTGCATGGTGGGACGAGTGTACCGGCCCTGCTGGGAGGTCTAGGACAGTTTGTCTTCAAGGCGTCCGGACAGAGGACAACCGCCGCATCCATTACTGTTGTAACATAATCCATAAACCTGTGTATCTATACTTAAATTGCTGCAGATCAGAGAATAAAAATCTGTGAATTCTGCCTTACGTCTTTTGTATATTTGGTAATTGTTTTCAACAAAGGCTGCTGAAGGTTGTCAGATTCATTCACAAGCAGTGGCATAGAAGTAGTTTAGTCAGTGAGCTGTAGAGGTGCTGGAAGGTTTATTATTAGACAGAACCAGTCTGGCTGTATTCTTCTGTCACCAGTGTTTCATCTCCAAGCTTCCAAAAATCTTTAACCTTCAAATCTAGACTCTAAGAGTGTAAGAGAGGTTGCTACCCTCGTCTCTTTCCTCTTCCTCACCCTAACCAGTCGAGGCAGATGGTCGCCCTTCCTGAACCTGGTTCTGCCAACTGTTTCTTCATGTTAAAGTAAGTTTTTTTTTATCCCCCCCCTTGTTTTGTTTTTTTAAACCTTTCATGCTCAAAGGCAGTCGTTCAGTTTTGTTGGGTCTTGACCTTATTATGTATAGTGCCTGGGGATGCTGTAAATTGGCGCCATATACACGAAAAGGTTTGTAAAGCATACGGTTGCTTCCTGCAGTAGATCTAGTAGCTGCAGTAAGCGTTGCTGTAGACTTTGCAGGTCTTATTCAACAAAAACATCTGTTATAGAAGGAGGCACTCTGATAACCCCTATGACTTCCATAGTTGCGGCTCCCTTTCTTCTAAAATTGCATGCAGATCTGGATGAAAGACCTTGTTGCATCAGATCCTCAATACTCGTAAATGACCGCCGTGCTTCGTGTGCTGTTGGCCTCCGGCCCGCAGGACAAAGGAGAGCTCTTGGGAAAGCGTTTAGAAATCGTACAGACACTCATCGTCCTCAAGAGGCTTGGTTTAATAAAGCCAGAGCCCTCAGTTTATGTGATTTCCTCAGATGTTTCCTGTAGATCTGCACTCGTCCAAGCACAGACAGGATTGATTGGAAAATGACCTTTCAGTCAATCAGGGTTGAAGATGATAGATATTAAATTATAGATAATAAGTCTCATTATAGCTGCTGTTGATCATGTTTTGCAAAATGCTAATAGAGAAGATGCACATATTCAGTCACAGAGTTTTAGAAATGGAGGTTTAAGAAGGGGACTTTGATGTCGTGTGTTTAACTCTACCAAAGTTGTGAAATGTTTTGGTTTTACTATTTAGGACATCTACAAAAAGATGCCTCCTGATTTTCTCACCTGTCTGTTGTTATTGAGAGACATACAACTGAAAGATAAATCAAAATGACTCAACCCCACTACGTATTTAAGGGTTTATATGTTAAAGATTTCTCCAAAATGCAGGAAGTGTTCCCACAAAACTGGCTAACATTGTTCATCAGTACAAATAATTTGTTCAAGAATATTTACCATGTCATATATTTGATCTCTCGTCAGTGATGTTTTAATGTTGTTCTCAGGCTCACAGATGGTTCTCAAGCCAACATTCAAAAAATGTTTCCTGGACGATATCGAGGCCTCAGACGACAGAAAGTTTTCTATAAAATGTTCATTCAAAGTTGTAAATGAACATAGGTGGAATGCTTTGCCTGCAAAGAGTGTTTTGGGGAAGTTGTTGAAACATGGAACATCTCAGAACGTCAACAAAGGAAGGCAACCTCAATGCAACATTTGGAAAACACTTTAAGAATGTTGGTCTACCAGTGTTATCACCAAACATTTTCCAAATGCCTCTAGAACCTAGCAAAACTTTTCCAAGATGTTTTTAAAAAAAAATTGTAGCTGATAATCTAGAAAGTTTTTTGAGGGATTTTATCGGACTGATAAAGAAAATGTGTCAGTATTGTGTGATGTGCAATATTTTATTTGTCAGGTGCAATATTTTTAATTATGCTCAGTGGTTAGCATCGTTGCCTCGCAGCTAGAAGGTCGCCGGTTCACGTGAGGACATCTTTCTGCATGGAGTTTGCATGTTGTGCGTGGGTTCTCTCTGAGTTCTCCAGCTTCCTCCCACACAGTCCAAAAACATGCTGAGGTTAATTGGTGATTCTAAATTGTCCGTAGGTGTGAATGTGAGTGTGCTTGGTTGTCTGTCTCTAAGTGTAGCCCTGTGATAGACTGGTGACCTGTCCAGGGTGTCCCCTGTCTTCACTCTGAGTCAGCTGGGATAGACTCCAGCCCCCCATGACCCTAGTGAGGATTAAGCGGAGTATAGATAATTGATGGATGGAATATTTTGGATTAATTTAATATTTAAATTCAATGTGAAATATTACATTATAATGTGTAACGTTGCTGTTACTTTACTGCGACAGAATTATTGGCAGCACTATGTCTCACTTTTCCATTCCAGACCCATTTTATTATTAATCATGTATCATATTAAATTATTGCTTTTCTACGAGGCACTGCATTTTTTAATGTTATGCAATTTTGTTTTCTGGCCAATATCTGGCACAAGAGTTTCCTCCTGGATTAATAAAGTTGTATTTTAGCTTATCTAACATCATATTCTGGTATACAATAAGCTTCTTTTGACCACCAAGGGTCTACTTGATATGTTATCATCACAGTGAATTTAAATCACTGGAATATCTTGCAGGTTAAAGGAGCTAAATCATTTTGACTGCAGCGGTATTTTGTGGTCACATAATATGTAATGAGTTCACGTGTGTTTACACAACGTTAGGTAATATAAAGTGTGTGTGGTCACGTGTGTGTGTGTGTGTGTTGTGTACTGTAAGTGGTAAATTAAGGCTCGCAACTTCTTACCAGTAAAGCTAAAAAAGACAGACGGTTTATTTTCTGCTGGATTGTTGTGGGTCTGTCAAAGAAAGCGGCTTCGGCCAACAACTGCAGAACATTCCTCACAAATTACAGAGTGAGTCAGCAGAAAGGAGGATGTGTTTCTGGGAATGTCTGCACCTTTTTGGTATTTGGGAATAAGCTTCTGGTCGGAAAAACAATTAGGCTGAGAACATCGGCAGATATCCAGCACGTGAAGAGCGGAATGCTTACTCTGAGAAAACGGCTCGCAGGCCACAGTTTATTGAACTGTGGGACTATAGAAAGTATGACTGACTGTCTAATGACAACACGAGGACAGATTATGAGAAGCAAAATGCTTAAATCTCATAATTAATGAATGACACAGTGTGAGTGATGCTACGAAAGCTGAAATTTAAGAAATCCTCAGCTGATGTGTTCACACGATTTTCAGCCTCGTTAGTGGAATTTCTTCAGGAACGGCAGAAAGTCCGTCAGTATGTTGGTTCACCACCGTTGTCCCGACTGAAATATCTCTGTGACTGTTTGATGGATGGCCATATAATTCTGTACAGACATTCCTGATCCCCAGAGCATGAATTAGAAAAACTTTCAGGACATTCAGAGTTTTAGTCGAGCCCAGTTGGCAGTTATTATCGTGAGCATGTCAGCATTTACACTGATGTATATTAATGAAGTTTTCTTTTGCACTTAACCCCCTTTCCATCAATGTAATCCCAGCGATAGCTCTGGGTTTATTGCCGGTTTTGGGTTGGTTCAAACTTGCAAACCGCCTAAGAACTGGTTTGCTTAGAGCCACGTCACTGCATCACTGTGCGTCTGTTTAAGAACCAGCTTCATCACTGACAACGCTTCTTGTTTCTGAACTGCTGTTGAGGAACCAATGTGAGGTTTGTTTCCCCGATGACAGCAGCTGAAAAGATGAGATAAGGTTTTTGCAAACAGTCACTGTTGTTCGTGAACGTTGCTCTGTGTCAGTGGTTCTCAAACTTTTTGAGCCACGACCCCCAAGATAACATAAGTTTGTGTTCGTGACCCCCAATTTGAATTCTTAATTTATCATGAGTAATAACTTTGTTGTTCATGCATTAAAAAGTTATTTGTTATTCCACCGATTAATCTCTTCACATTAACAAGCTAACTTTCGTTGAATGAATGAATGAACTGAATTTATCAAACACATGAAAGAGAAAAAATGTGTGAAAACAAAATAAACTCATTTTAAAAACAGCCCTAATACAAATTTATTAGATAAATGTAGACTTTATTTATTTATTTATTTATTTATTTTGATCTGGCGACCCCCTGAAATTATCGTGGGACTCCCATGGGGGTCCCGACCCCCAGTTTGAGAACCACTGTTCCAGCCTTTTTGGATGGCGATATTAAAATCCGTCTTAAAACGTTGATTGAACCTCTAAAAACTCATCTCTGTGCATCAAAGTTACATATTTACGAGCTTTTTTCCCGTTTAAAACAATCACTTCCGGTATGATAATGACTTTGATGTAACATTGCAGCTCGAGCGCACCAGCTCACCCTGTAATTCAGGCGTATATATGTTCATTTATGCAAGTGTACAGGATTGGTTCCTCATGTCTGTAGGCGCTACAGGTCCATCAGAACCAGGACGAACGGATTCAGAGAGTTTCTTTCCCAGAACAATCATCTACCATTAAATACGTCTTTCTTATTATAATTTTACTGCCCAAAAATATATTTGACTTACATGTCTTGCAGTTAAGGAGAAGCAAAGCATTTCCAATGTTTTGCATTTGCACAATGACAATAAACTCTTTCTTTACTGTTCAAAATCTGAATCTATCATCAACACACGACAGTTTCAGTGTTCAACCAAGGACAGCTGCTTATTTTGCTCCTGTCACTTCTTCTAGCAAATAGAGTCTCCACAAAATGACGTTCCTGCACAACTAAACTGTATTCTTATGAGCAGAACCTATTTTTGTTTTGGAGTGGACTTAATTTAACACCTGCTATGTGGTTTCAAAAAGCGAGAAATTTGACACTTTTGCATGTCAGACGCTTGGTGAAGGTCAGATTATTTAGCAAGGTTTAGGAAAAAGTCGTTGTTTGGGTTAAAATTCATTTTGAGGCTTCTTCTCCATTGTCTAGGTGACAAGTGCCACACAGTTTAACATGTGATTAGTTGAAGAGGAG